ATTTTCCAGTTTCAGTTAGATTATGTGGATTACAAACTTTAATAAGGATCCGCACTGTATCCACACACACACGCACACATCTAGAATGGTGGGGGGTTGGTGTGGATATCTATTCAAATGTAATCACAAGCTGTGCATTTTAAATGAACAGACGCCCCAACAGGTAGTATTGCCCCACGGATGAGTATACTATATAACCCCAAAGAGGAACATACCCAAAGCAAACATTGTTGCACACCCCCATCAACAACAACAACAACCACAATTGGAATATCATTTGTAGAAACCGCAACCTCAAACACCGTCGGGTCGGTCTCTAGGGTTTTGTTGTTGATTGTTTGCATGTGGCTGTTGCTGCCGCCGCTTGGGGTAAGGCAGAAACCAAATTAGATCTCTCGCAACGACGTGTCTGACAGAGCATATAAAATATGTATGTAACAATATATACAAAAATATTTTAAGCTACTTAATATTTTTCACTTTTTAAGAATCAAAGAATTTAATTTTTATGTTTTTTTTTAGCATATTAGATTGATATTTTTACGCTCTAATACGAAACGAAACTTTGGAAATTCGATTTAAATATAAATATTACAGTTTAGAGAATGATAAGTCACTATTTTTAAGGTTCTTCGGTACAAAAATACATACATACATACATATGTACATATGTGAAATGTTTTTGCCGAGTTTTGACCCGCATGTTGTCGAAAACAAAACAGAGAAAACAACAAGCGTCGACAGCAATTGAAAAGAGAAAGTTGCAAAATGAGAAAAACATAAAAAACTTCTAGCTACCCCCCCAAAGGCAGTGGCTGAGAGGGAAAGGCTGCCCGCAGCAGAAGCAGAAGTTGAAAAGATGAAAGCCGTTAGGCTGCCGTCCAACAACGTTCAGCGTCCAGCGTACAAGCTGTGGGTCCCAGAGCACCCCAGTGCTTGTTTTTTGGCCAGAGTGTGGCTTGTGGCTCACTCCCACTAAGCTGATAAGACAGCTACTCCCCAGAGCGCCACGGCAGGGATTGTAGTACACGGCGGTATACTACCCTAGTAGTGCAAGGGGTATGTTGTTTGCTTGTGCCACAGAAAGCATTTGCATGTGTGAGACTATAAGATTGGGAACATAATCATAATTTTGGGAATAGAAAAATTACAACTTTAGTTCAAAGGCTTCGCCTTTGAAAAGTTACCAAAAAAGTATTTGTATTCCATTCAATTTTCCAAATCTGTATACCGGGTACCCCCGTAGTCCGTAATATTGCCACGGAACATTCTTGTTTTAGTTTTAGTTTTTTGTTTTTGTTTTCTTGAGTGATTTTTGTGTCTGGTGGTCGAACGAGTTTTACAAATTGTCAACGCTTTGCTTTTAGCAAATACAATTTGTTGAGAGGGAAACTAGTTTGCAGCTATGCGACTACGTTAAAAGCAAAAACAAAACCAAAAACCAAATATCGGTATCTGTATCTGTAGTGTAGTGTGTGGTGTGCTGTGCTGTGGTGTGGTGTAGATCTGTGCAACATAATTTTGTCATTACCGTGCGGACACATAGTACTGGCTATATATGCATATGGGCAACAGATGTTGGGCAAACACACACACAGATACACTGATCGACGAATACTCACAGAGAGCTGCGAGATGCGACCAGGTAGTGGCTGGGCATACACACACACACACACGCCCAGTGGCCATCCCGTCCCGGCCTCGTTTCCCGAAAGTTGACTTTTTGTTGGTTTTCCTTCCTTGAAAAAGTGTGTTTGCCTTTGCCTTAAGGCTGGTTTTCGGGCGTGGGCAGCGGCGGCGACAGTGCTACACTTTTACCGCACTTCAATGTAGCCCAAACGAAACTCTTGAGTGGAGTATGATGATGCCCCCCAGGGTGGGGGCATGCAACGGCACATCTCTACTCCCTGATCGCACTGTGTACGAATGGCCAAGTCAACAAAAGATTCATAATAAGAACAACAAAAGCAAAAGGGGAACATGAGTGGGGGGCCAAAGACAGAGAGACAGAGAAAGATTCCCAAAGGAGAGAAATTCAATGAGATGAGAAAGACTCGCTCGCGAAGAGGAACACAAAAAGGAAGTAACTAAAAATAACAAACAACCGCCGCTCTGCTGCTGTAAGGTGGAATGAACTCGAATGGAAAGGAGACAGAAGAGGGACAGAGAAGAACCAAACGGAGAGATGCAGGCAGGTCTTTAACCCACTAAAGCCAGAACTCTATTAAGGTAATCATCACTGTTATCGGTTAACAGTTCTACTAAGTTGTTTCTTTTACAGTGATTAGAAGAGAGCAGCAAGTGCCTTTAACCCCAACAATTTTAATTTCCTACATAGCGTAGGAGTAAAGAACCCAACCGTGATTTAGAGCAGGGGAAATTCTGTAACAGTTAACCAAGGGAAATTTGTCTGTGCCTTACATTCCCTGCGAGAAAGTGATATTCTTCTAACAGTGCCCCTGAGCATAGATAATAAGGATTCGGATTTGGGGTCGCTTACCTTCATCCAAAAGTCGCTCCACATGCGTAAAGACATTCGGGAATGCCGCCAACTGCTTGCGATCCTTCAGCAATTGGGCCAAATAGTCGGCGATGCTCTGTGTGCTCTGTTGCTGTTGTTGGGGCGTCAGATGGGGCTGCGGCACCACCACTTGCGGGGGCTGTTGCTGTTGTTGCTGCTGCTGCTGTTGTTGTTGTTGCTGTGCGACGGCAGCGGCTGCGACGGCGGCAGCAGCGGCTGCTTGTTGCTGCAATTGCTGTTGCAGTTGCTGTTGCACAACGGCTTTGCTCTCACAAACACTCATTATGTTGCTGTGTTTGTGTTTGCGTGTGTGTGTGAGTGAGTTTTGTAGGGGTGTAGGTGAGAGCGAGCAAACGAGTGAGAGAATTGTTGCTCTGTAGATTTGTTTATTCTTTTGAAATGAAAACTGTTTACTCTTGAGAGATTCTTTTATTTCGTTGATTGTTCTCTGATTTCATTTACTTATTGCACAATTTCTTTAAATTTCTTTAACACGTTACTGCAAGAGGGACCCAAAACGAACAATGTGTTATTATTATGTATTTGCGGAATAGAAAACGAAATGAAAACAACTCCACCCAAAATATTTCGGTTTTTTTTTGCCTTTGAGAAACAGTAACAGCAACGAGACAAAAAACTGCGTGAGCGAGCGAGACAGAAAGAGCGAGAAGACAGAAAATTCCTCAGTGCCGCCGCTGCAGATCGATCGTGTGTGTGTGCAAAGAGGCAGGCAAGAGTCACACACACACACTCTCGCTGGCAGCCAGACGGCGACAGAGAAGAGAGCGCAGTTAATTTGATAGTGAGCGTGAGTGCGGCGGAGATGAATGAAAGCAGAATATCAAAATATCTGCTATCTCGCTTCCACTCGCTGATACGGCTGCTGCAGCCCGCAGAGAGAGCAAATACAACAAAAAGGAAAATAATTTTATATGCAAATTATTCTATACATTTTCCAGCAGCGTATTTTAACAAATTAATGAAATTAATTAACACAACTGCAGGAATGCCAGTGCGACATTTGCTCAAAAATATTGGAAATTTTGCTCAGAAATATGCACAGTTGCTGATTATTTTGGATGGCAGCATTGTCTTTTTTATCTCTTGGTTTTCATTTCATTTGGTTTTCACTGGAATACGCGTTGGAAAAGTTCCAATATACACACTTCTTATGATTTAACCGAATGAGGATTCCTTTTCTTGTGATTATTTTATTATTATTCGAGTCGGAGAAGAACGAAATAGGGATTGAACGCGATTCCGTTTACCGTTTATTCCTACAGCTGAACCGAGCGCGAAGACAGAGAAAAAGAATCTGAATGCAAAGCATAAAGCGCGATAGCTAGTCAGTGTGCGATCATGACCGAGCGATTGAGAGGGTGGGATTTTTTACATTCGCTCTCTATTGAGCGCGTTTCGCTCGTGACATCACAAATGGGATTTTGAAAACAATGCGGTTTCGGAAAATAATACATAAAAAGATATTAAGAGATGTAGATAAAATTAAATTGATCTTTAACTAAAAATTTTAGATGGGTTTTATAGGTATACATAAATAATTAAATCGATGTTTTTCAATTTTATACATACTGATAATCTTATTACACAATTATTTTTAACTTTTCTCAAAGTTCTCTATGCTAAAATATATATATTTTTTTACACAATCATCTTGAATTATTTTTACAGCCATAAGATATAAGATATACGTGTTTTAATCCATCGGCCATACTAAACCACACAAATATGCCATTTGTGACGTCACTCGCTCTCTTGTGTGGCGCTCTCGCTACAATTTTGAATATCAGTCGCACCCTCATTTTCGTGCATTGCACCAAATAGAGTTGCAGCTGTTTGGGTTAATGCAGATATTTTCGCTTAAAATGTGAATATTTGAGTGGACAAATTATAGAACATCCCAAATGTAGCTAAATACAAATGTGGTTAATAAATTTCAGGCTTAACATTGCTGCCAAAGTTCATATTATAAAACAAAGAAGCTGGCGTTGCCACCTGGCAGGAAAATGTTTAACAATTTGGCGCGTTGGCGTTCATTTGAATTATATTCCACTTGGAGCGGAGGCATTAATTACGCACGGAAATTGCTGGCCTGACAGATTAGAACCAAGCGGACGTTTTGTTGTTCTCCGACATTGTGCATAGATGCGGGGGCAAGCAGTTGGGGCTGGCCAAAAGCCCATGCAAATGAACACCGAACCTTGTTGGTGTGTTAACTCTTTGCCTTTAAGCCAAATGCTGGAAGGCTGAAATGTATGTGGGAAAATTGGCATTCGCATGCGTTTTGACTGGCTGGTCTGGTCTGGTCTGGTCTGGTGGTGGTGCTGGCGACGCACCATATAAGCCACCCTACGCCAGCGACAACTTTTACTTTCCATAGCAAAGATTAATTTTTCATTGTACCCTTGTGGCGGGGTATTTCGATTCACCCCCCAACGTAACGAAATATTTGTTTTAAATAAATTTCTTTTTCATATCTTTCTATAACATGCAACTGCAAAATCATATGAACTATCTATATACAAGTGTATCAAAGCGGCAGTCAGCCTTTCTTTCTTTCTTGTTTTTAGTTGACTTTGGCTCGGCTGCGGCTTCCGTGTATTCAGCACCCGCATGTACTTAAATGAGACGTGAAAGTTTAGAGTGGACGTGGACATTGGAAAGCAGGCAGGCGGGCGCCCACCACCAGACCAGACCACACCACACCACATCTGAGATCTTGCCCGACAAGTCCGCCAAATTTGTGTGCACTTGGCTGGGGGTATAAGCTATGGTCATATGGTCATGTGTGTGGGCCGTTATACAGTTTTATTGCCTTTGAAATATGTGTCAATGTGGCGCAAAGATGAAGACATTGTATGCTTATGGATTTTCGATTTATATCTACAAAAGCCTCCAATCTTACAGCCATCTAAAAGCCCTTTCCAGTCTCTTACACCTACGAAAACTTTTTGGGACATCTGTTGTGGCATGCGTGGATCTAAATGGGCCTGTTTTCCGTGGGCCGCCGCTTAATCTCTCTAGGGCTTTGGCATTTTATTATATATGTTTTTTCTTTCGTAGCACTTTCAGTTTTTCCAACAACAACAAAAATAAGCTCCAATACAACAGATTTCTAGCAGCTGTTAAGTGGCTGTGTGCTGTCTGTGGAAAATGGGACTGAATTTTCACACAACTTTGTCAAGGCATAAAATGTGGCCTGGCGTTGAGTTATTATAATGCATCATTGGTCAGATCTGATCTCCCGCGATCTCTGAAATTTATTTCAATTGTTTCGCGCTGCCAAAATACCAAAACGAGCAGCAGTTCGTATAAGGAAGTGCACACAGAGCAGTGTTCACACTCCATCGGTATGTATTATCCTTGGCTTGGCTGTCACTGGCAGTGGTGGGGGCTTTTGCCTTTTCTGTATGTCGCACGTTTTATGGATACAAATGCAAATTGTGTGGCTTTGTGTGGCTGTTGTGTGTGTTTGCCGCCAAATTATGCATTTCATTGGTTAATTTATAGCCGACACAGAAAACCACAAGGCGGCCCCCGTGTGCCCCGTGTGTAATTAGCAGAATGTTGGCCAAAAGACAGGCAGGCAGGCAGGCAGGCAGTAGCAGTAGCCTGGCTAATAACCAGTTTGTAGCTGCTTTGTCGTTACATTACATGGGATTGTTGGGGGGCGCCTGCTCTTTTAGTTCGACACCCACACACATGGCAGGCAGGCAGGCAAGCAGCAGGAAATCATTTAAAAAGACAACACCCCAAAATGTCCAAAAAGCTTTGGCTCTGTGCCCTCAATACTGATCTTAAGTCATTGTTTTTTTATATTTTTTTCTTCTTATATTTTCAGATGTATAATAAAAAACAAAATAATAGCTCATCCGCTTGGCGCTTCTGTTCTTTTTCTGTATTATCTCAATGGGACCACATGGAGCATTACAAGCCTTCTGGCACATTTCCCAGCAATGTTCCCTCGCTTTAAAGCGCTTTTGAAACCCATCAAAAGTCAGTGAAAAGTCGCCCAAACAATTATCACACCACATTTGTCGCCTGAACGAATGCAATTTCTGTGTCACAACTGACAGCCAGCAGCCCACAGGTGGAGCGCTTCCCACTGCTCTCCACTCTACACCGCTTCGTATTCATTCATAAAGTACCCCCCCTCGAGTTTTGCATATTATGCAGTGAAGCCAGCTGATTGGATTGGATTGGATATAACAAGCACAAGCCACACAAACTAAGCTAAACTTCGATCTGCTGCGCTGCATGAATGAATCGAAGCGGGCTAGCATGAGTTTTCATTCACAGAAATCTATCGTTGGAGCTGCGCTGCGCTGCGCTGCTTGAGGTGTAGCGAAACTCAGTGGGCGTATGGCGTTGTTGGTTTAGACATTCGTTGCGCCCACGCCCACACATCCCCATCCCCCGTCCGACTTCCAATTTGCTGATACATTTTGATGGGCTGTCCCACTGTCCCACGTTTTTGGTTTCATTAGGTTGCGCATTTAGTTTTTTGTATTTCGATATTTCGTGGGTGACTCTTCGGTGCTGCTTGGGGTGTATAGGAGGTGCGGTGAGCAGAAACGTGTTTTTATTAGAAAATTGATCACTGTTCGGTCAGCTCAATGCTGTTTCAATTGGCCAAGCGAAGCGAAGCCAAGGCAAGGCATGTGCAGTGGGCGCCCCCCATAAGTCACCGAGCATTATTTCAATTGATTAAACGTTCGATTATCAAACTATTTGGGCACAGTTTTAAAAGCATTGGCCACCACCAGCAGCAGCTCCATTCATGCGTGGGCCTCGGCGCACAATTTCATGAGGAAAACAACAAATTTTTGTGCCAAATTTGGGGCAGAGACTGAAACTTCGCTTGAGCCAGCGATCACAGATCGATTCGACAACAATAAAACATTTGAATTAAACAGAGCGAGCGCGCACAGACAAATAAGGAGCAGCCACATCCGCGTGTCGAGAGATGCGAAGTCCGCGTGGGATGCGGCTGCCAAAATGGTTACGTGAACATCGATCCGTATATTATGCACTTCATATACATTAAAAGAAAGGTTATTGTACAATATACAATGGGTATCTAAATGGGTTGCTTTTTGCTTACAAACTATTCGCACAATTTACTAACGCATAAATTTCTTGGCCTGGTCACGATTGACCTGCTTGAAGTGGCGCTGCTTTGAGGCGGATGTGTCATTCATTTGTCTGTAGTAACCGAAACCGCCGCCACCCACACGCTTCTCCGGCCGCTGTCGCTTGGCAGCGCCCACCTTAAGGTCAACCACGGGCGGCACCAGGAATCCAAAGCTCTTGGAGACCGCCTGCAGGTCCAAAGTGTTCACATTGAATATCTGCTTCAGCTGATGCGAATCATAGGCCCGCACATACGACTTGAAGGCCTCCTTGGCCGACTGATTAAGGAAGTAGTTCTTGGCTATCAGTTTCTCCAGCTGCAAAACGAAGACAGATTTTATATATAAAAACAAAATTTCAAGTAAAAAAAACTCACCTGCAGCTGAATGTCGGCAATCTTTTGCCAGGAGAACTCAAACTCATTGAGCGGCACCTTGGCTGCCTTGAGGTAGCGCAAGAAACCCAACTCTTCCGGCCGCATCAGCAGCAGCGCATGGCCCGAAGTGCCCGATCCTCGTGCCGTACGACCCACACGATGAATGTACTCTTTGGGATCATCTGGGGGATCGTACTGCACAATCCAATCGACCTGTGGTATGTCCAGGCCACGAGCCGCAACATCTGTGCAGAGCAGAATGCCGGTCTCGGCATTGCAGAACTGGAAGAAGGTCGTCGTGCGCTTTGTCTGCTTTTGCTTGCCGTGTATGGAGGTCACCGGCAGATCAATGTAGTTGAAGAGCTCGTGATGGTACTTGACTGACATGCAGGAAGAGAAGAAAACCATCACCTTCTTCTTGCGATTCTTCTTGAGGAAGGTGAACAGCACCAGCAGACGCTTCTCTGAGGGGCACACAATGTAGCCCTGCTCGAGACCATCGACAGTCGCCGTAATCTCGTCATCATGCACGCCCACATAAATGGGCTCTGATTTAAGGGCCAGCTTCGAGAGGGCCTCAATGCGTGCCGTTTGTGTGGCCGAGAAGAGCATCGTTTGACGTCGTTCTGGGGTAACAACAAGAAAATTATTATAACAATCCGCCAGGCTTAAGGGCCAAAAGGCCACTCACTTGGCAGCAGATTGATGATTTGCTTTAGCTCCTCCTCGAAACCAATCTCCAATATCCGATCCACTTCATCAATTATCAGACATTGCAG